GGCCAAGATAGAGGTCGTGATGCAGTGGGAGGTTCCGAGGTCTCCAACTGAGATTCGGAGTTTCCTTGGTCTAGCGGGTTATTATCGGAGATTCATCTAGGATTTCTCCAAGATCGTTGCTCCTTTGACCCGACTGACCAAGAAGTCAGTGACATTCCGCTGGGGGCCTAAGCAGCAGGCAGCCTTCGAGACTCTCAGGCAGCGATTATACGAGGCACCGATTCTGACCTTGCTGGAGGGCGTCGATGACTTTGTGGTTTACTGTGACGCTTCGATCACAGGCATGGGTGCGGTATTGATGCAACGGGGTCACGTGATAGCTTACGCCTCGAGGCAGTTGAAGCCTCACAAGGCTAACTATCCGACGCATGATTTAGAGTTGGGGGTGGTGGTTTTCGCCCTCAAGATTTTGCGGAATTACCTACATGGGATCCGTTGTACCATTTCCACGGACCACAAGAGTTTGAGGTACCTCATGGATCAGCCGAATCTGAACATGAGGCAGCGTCGGTGGCTAGATATGGTGAATGATTATGACTGTGAGATCCTTTACCACCCGGGCAAGGTCAACGTGGTGGCCGATGCTCTGAGCCGCAAGGCGGTGGTGGCTCTGATTCGAGATATATGTCTGAGGATGACAGTGATTACTCCGTTGCTAGAGCAGATCCGGGAGGCGCAGGTCAAGGGCCTGAAGGAGGAGCGTCAGAAGTGCGAGAGGATCATAAGCCAGGTGGCCTCGTTTGACTATGACAACCATGGACTGTTGACCTTGTATGGAAGGGTCTGGGTTCCGTACTGGGGCGGAGTACGAAGGGTTCTGATGGATGAGGCCCACAAGTCGAGGTTCTCCATCCATCCTGAGGCGATAAAGATGTATCAGGATCTTCTCCCTGATTACTGGTGGCCCTGCATGAAGCGGGACGTAGCATGGTATGTAGAGAGGTGCTTGACCTGCAGGAAGGTCAAGGCCGAGCACCAGCGACCCCACGAGAAGATGCAGCCGCTAGACATTCCCATGTGGAAATGGGAAGATATCACTATGGACTTCATTACGAAGCTTCCCAGGACCGCACGTGGAGTAGATTCGATATGGGTCAATGTAGATCGGTTGACCAAGAGCACACACTTTATCCCGATCTAGGAGAGTATATTGGCTGAGAAGCTGGCCGAGATCTACGTGTGTGAGATAGTGGCACGACATAGAGTGTCTGTCCCGTTGGTGTCAGACCGGGATGTCCGTTTCACTTCCGGATTTTTGGTCCGATGTCGGGCGGGGGCCCGAGGAACGTTTATATGTCTGTAGTTAAGTGGTTATGCTTATGTTATGTGTATTAGTAGTTATGCTCATATGTACGCCGAGCTTTGCTCGATGCCGGGCGGGGCCCAATGCCAGATGTGGTCTATTGTCGGGCGGGGCCCAATGTATGTTATATGCGAGTATGTGATTATGTGTATGGTATGTGGTAGTTTGGGGAGACTCACTAAGCTTTGTGCTTATAGTTTTCAGTTTTGGTTTCAGGTACTTTCGCTAGTAAGGGGAAGAGCTCGGGATGACTGCATGGCACACACCATATCTTTTAGCCTGGGAGGATTCACTCCGATGTTTTGACATATGATTTTGATACATTGACAAATGTTATGATATTTTCAAGATACACGATTTATGACTTTTTATATGATCGATGATACTTATGGTTTTTACTTTTTATTAATGAATTAAAATGATATTTTTGGGTTGTATTTTTGGGATGTTTCAACATGTGTCACGATGTGACAAGCCATGTATCACGATGTGAAAATCCCCTGGACAACCTATAGATAGAAATCGAACCATGCTCATTTGTACACATCTTCCACTCCAAACCCCTTGGAGTATTTCCCTCACTTTGAGTCCGATTCTCCAGAGTTTCCGGCTACTCTGGTGATGCTATGAGGTATCTAGGATCCCGAAAAAAAGAAGTTTTCGGATTTCTGCAAGTGCAATTTATGGACTTTTTTCAGAAATCTATGTCACAACAAAGGAGGAGCTAAGTACTGAAGCGAAGCGCTGCTTAATGGTGGTTGTCGAGGCCAACAAAATTAAATACCCTTAATATTACACACTAAAATAGTGTATAGCGGTAAAGGAATTGTATCCACGGAGATTGGTTCAATTAATAACTCTGTGAAATCTTGTTGCACAAATACTTGTGAAACTAAAATAAAGATAAAACGGGGGGTTTTTTGGTCTTTTGAAATATTCGAAAGAAAACTAGAGTTAAATTGAGATTTAAAGACACAATTCAACAAAAGCAAGGTTTGATATAAAATCAATGAGGGAAAGATGGTTGACTTAAGGTTTCATCACTTCAACACTTGATAAATATATCATTAGAATCCAAAGTGCAATACTTGTCTTAAATCTTTAATTTGGCTATAGTTATCCAAGAAGCTTGAGATTACCTACACTTTTTTTAGTTATTAAAATAGCTAGAGAAGCTCATAACATATTTCCTTAGTTAAAGTTACAAATCCCATTAAGGAAGTAATTAGTGAAAGTTAACTAACATTAAGAACCAAAAAGTCATCAAATCCAAGATGAGTCAAAAGCTTTCACTACCATGTTAGAGAAAATGTTTTTGTGATTGTGTGAAGTGAAAACTAACACATGAATCAATTGATTCTTGCTAATTTGAGGATCCATTACTTAATCAAAAAATTAGCCAACTAATCACTAAAAATACATTTAAACTCATGAATAAAAACATACAAGTAGCAAGAAGATGTTAAAATATAAAACATTCTCATAAAGACTCAAGAATAAGTTCATGGAGTTCTTCAACATTCAACCAAACATTCAAGTAATTTCATCACAGTCAACCAAGATTAGTTTAGACTAGCATGGATGAACTCAAGAGAACGAAATAAGAGTAGATTGTACCAAACATGTAGCAAGATTCAAGAGTAAAAAGAAGATGTTCTTTAAGTGTTCTTGAGGCTCCAAAATGCAGAGAAAAAACTCCAAAACTCAGATGTGAAGAAGTGTGGAAAATTGGTACACCAACCTTCCCCATATAGCTCAAAATAAGAATTCTCAGAAATGCCCCTGCAGGGCCTTGTGCGACCCGCGTGCTGCTGCGTGGGTAGCCGCGCGGGTGGGGCTGATTTGAGCTCCTTTGTGATTTGGGCTTCCAATGACTTAGCCTACTGGCCCAAAATGAGTCTAATCCGTTTGTAGTCCATTGTTCTTCAAGTTTTCTTCAATTTAAGCCTGATGTCTTTTCTAAATCACCCAAAGCTTGTGTACTCGCCCGATCATTTTAATCCCGAATGCACAAATGTTCCTCCATTTTCTTTTAAGCACAAGCCCATCTTCTTCAATGCTCCATCCATCAATGACCCACTTTATGCATCATATCCACTAGTTATCAAGCCCATAATCCTTGTTGTCCTCCAAATCTAATTGCTTTCCACATATCCTGAACATTCCTGCTCTGCTAGTCTCCTTGAAATTTGAAATTATGCTAAAAAAACTAGAAAGTACCCGAAATAGTTATAAAATAACAAAAAGGAAAATATGCATGATGATTAGCTAGATTATGAATGAAATATACTAAAATAATTTATAAAAAGAAGTAAATAAAATAAAACTATCACCCAACTTTCCAGTCATCCACTTTATCAAGTGATTGCATAGTTACTTTCATCTTATACATAGATATGAAGTATTTAGATAATTAATTGTTATGCGTGCGTATTATCTGTGATTAAAACCTTTTATGTTAGATGAAATTATATGAGCTGATTTTATTTAATCATATATGTATTTTTATACTTATAATATATGGGGTATTGAAGGGTAAAGAGAGATGAAAATAATAATGAGAGGCCGAGACTTTTATAGTACTATCGGACTAGCAATGTAGTCAACTAGTAGGGTATTGATGATGACCACATACTATACTAGACAAGTCAAGTCAAACATGGGCAGGTACATAACCTGTAGATGTTTATAAGTTAAACATGGACAGGCCTGTAACATGTAGATATTTATAAGCCATACACGAGTAGGTTTACAACCTGTAGGTGTTAATCGATCATACATGGGCATGTTTTCAACCTGTAGATGTTCATGAAATTGTTTGCGGACATGTTTACAACCTGTAGGCATTGATGAACCGTACGTGGACAGGTAAACAACTTGTAGGTTACTAAATTATACATGGGCAAGTCTCCGACCTATAGATGTTAAGGAACCACATACGGATATGACTATGACCTGTAGGTATGAATAAATTATTCATGTGGGTATTCTGTTCACCCTCATGGTCATCTTATTAGCATATATTGCTAAGGAATACCCAATGCATTATTGTTCACTTAGAGATCCTTTAGGATAGATCCCTTGAGATCATCAGTTTAGGATCCGAGAGTGAGAATAACAGGAATGGGTAATCGGGTTAATTGTTAGATATGAATTATATAATTATAACAAATTGATTGTAATATCGTGGGTTGAAAACCCTAAGTGCTCATAAGGATTCCCAATCTGAGCCACTCAATTTCTTTGTATCACAGGCAGCGGTACGAAGGTATTTGATGTTTGGATTGATGAGAGATTAAAGGAAATGTAGGCCATTAGATGTTATAAGGCTAGTAATAATCATGTTTATGCTTATGTTTCTTGTATCAGATATAACATCCCAAGTTTTAATAAATCAATGAAAATCATTTCTTCGGGAATAATTTTATGGGACAAATTCCACAATATAAAGAATACTTTGTTTTAAAATAAGCATAAATAAAATGGACTTTTCTGACCGTAAAAATGGGGATGTCACAAATATAGACCTTTAATTTTTATACAATTATAACTTTCCGTATGAACAAGTCCAGTGAGATATAGACCTTTAATTTATGTATAATTATCATTTGAGCACCAAAAAACCACCTTGCAAAATAATGACTCATATTAATTCAATTTTTCATTAGAAATCATGAGTGCATGTAAAATAATGATATCAATCAAGCAACTTGAATATTTTCGGTTCCTTTAGCCTCTCTATTTTGGCCCTAAAGAAGAATTGGTGCCTTGCTAAGCTCCGAACTTGTTTCATGTAATGTTCATATCTCATAACCCCCTTTTCAAGAGCCTTCTCAAGAGCATACATCAAATCTTCTAAAGCTTGGTCTTCGGCCAACAATTCCAAGGCCAAATGTGAGTACGTATCTATACATTCAAATGCATCCTCGACTTTCCCTCCTATAGCAACACTTAAATTTACTTTATTCACAGCCAACCAATTTATCAATATATCAGATTCGTCAGTTATTTCCTTGACTCTTTGCTTTAGATTAACCCTTTCGTGGTCCAATCCAATGATTATGCTAGTTGTGATATCAACACGCATACTCATATCAGCTTGAAGAATAGTTAGTTTTTCTACTTCATCATTTGTGTTTTCCCTCAATGTCATCATGTCATAGTGAAGCATCCACCAAAGTTGATCCAAGCAGTCCGTTTTTGACATATAAGAAGGGTGAGATAAAGTAGGAGCGCTGACAAAATAAAAAGGGTGATCTAAAGAGAATATTTTTACCAAACTATAAGCAAGACCTAATAAGTCGTGCCCAAAAGGACCCCACGTGTGAAGATATGATGATGTTGTCACTCCGGATGGATCCACAAAAGGGTGATTAGGACGAATTGGATAAGTTGGATTTGATGTTACTTGAACAATAGGTGGCTTATGAGGGTAGTGCTCATGAATCCAAATGCTTACATGGATCGAAGGCAAATATTGAGAGATATGTAGGTAGCCTTCAGCTTTCAGTAAGTTCACCATTGTTCCATCATTGTGGGTAAACATGGCAACACTAGGAGACAAGGAAGAGAATTCATTATGAAGAGAAATTAAGTGTTTCCGTATTAGCCATTTTTGGTGGGTGTCAGTATATGCTAACGCATGTACAGTGTTGCAAAACATCGCATTGTCAATGATTTCAGCCGAAGGTGGTGATGCCATGGTGAAATGAGTGGAAGTTTAACAGTAGTACTGTCGGAAGTTATCATGGAAGAAACACTTGCTATTTATAAGTGAGTTTTTTGTTATGTAACCCTTTATATTTTATTTAATAAATACTACTTTTCAAAGTCAATTACAATATTTAAAAAGTTAATAGTACAGTTTTGGTTGCTTGGAAATTTCCAATGACATAGACACAAATACCAACTTCATTATTTACTCATATAATTTGGACAAGTAAATTGTGTTACTCCACATATTTTATATTATAGTACCCTTTTAGAACTATAGCTTGAGTGTTTGACCGTCTTCTATATTCTTATACCATAGAAAGTCGTTACTAAACAAGCGAGACGATTGTTTTTTTATAATAATTTGACGTTTTGATGTCTAAACTTCACGATTCAACTTCAAAAATAGACTTTGAGTGTAGAAAGAAAATTACATGGGTGTTCATATCCTCTTCTCCACAAGGAGCCTTACATCTTCTTGTATCTTAATATCTTATTTAATGCAATACTTCTCAACCCCCATATAGCATGAGCGATGCTTTATTTGATGAACGTACAAGTGTTATTTATAGAAAATCTCCTTTCAAAGTTTGTAAGTTTAGTCAATTGTGAAGAGTAAACTCCAAAAGAATCATTTCCTTGTAGTTGCAAGTTCCCATGTAACTTCCATTCAAGATATAAAAAATGTCAATTTGGGTTTATCAAATCTTTGATGTCACTATCCTCAATTTTATAAGGAAAACATGTTTATTGATATACACAATTTTCTCAACCAACCTCGTGATAAAATATAATCTTGATTTCTAAGGATAACTATGAGCATTATTATATTTATTATCCTATATATTATTGCTTTGAAGATACATACGTACACATCAGGTGTATATATAGAAGATACGTACGCGTATACATCAGGTGTATATATAATAGTTTCCTTGTGCAAGTAAAGAACTAAACATGATAAGCATATACTAAAGATAAGCCGTGTAAATATAAAATCTGATAAGAAGATAAGTATTTCGGCAGGTTTTAAGTTTTATTTAATTAATATAGATTAGATATATTACATGTATATATAAATATATTTTGAATTGACTATTTTAAATCAAATTAGTCAAATTGAAAGTTTTATACTAGTAGTACCAGTCTCTAAGCCCATATCCCAACCCAAGTTAAAGTGCATTCATTCATGCTCAGGCCCACCATAGTCTAGCAATTACAACTAGATGACTACTTAGGCCCAGTAATTGAAGGTAAAACCCAACTTTTCATTATTATTAAAAAAAAAATCACCATCTTTTAGAAAGTCTTGAACACTTTTATTTTATCTTGAATTCAAATTACAGGCAAGAGGTTAATAACGTTATAAATTCATAAATATATTCCAGTGTCAGCGTATAAGTGTATATGCTACATGTTTATAGTCAAATGAGATATTCGATGATCTAAAATAGATATTGAATTTTGGTAACCTAATTTATTGGTTGGTAACTGGATATACTTTGTTTATTATAAACTCATAACATAGACTTTTGAAAGTTATTTTTTAAAATTAAGTACCTGAAATGTAAATATACCAAAACTAAATTTTACGTACAACTTGCCTGCTTAAACAATACACTATCTATTTTTAGTAAGTTTTCTATACAAATTCAAGTTCACCAATTAGTACTCATATTTCATGCTGGTGATTTCGATTTTGGTTCACAATTTTTATTTATTATGTCTCGTTAACGTAAATCATATATACTTTATCTATACACGTTCTTTTTATTTTAATATGTGTTTTGTAGTGTATATTAGCACTTACTATAACCATGAGACCATCGAGAATATAAATGTATTATGTATGAACAAATGTAAGAAATACGAGAAAACATAGATGCATTGTGTACTGTGTCGTATTTTGTATGGGTGTTGATACCCCCAAGAAATGAGCCAGTGAATGTTTTTGTGCTTTGGAAAGATTACCGACCATATTAGAGTACGTTTATATAGTTTTTATGTCATTTGGCGGAAGTCAAAAATATGATTTTTAAATGAATAACAAAAATTCGATAAAATTAGGTTTTATAGGTAAAGTCATAAAGTGTAAGGATCGGAAGTTTGGAATACTTAGAATATCATGATTTGAATATGAAATATGTTTTTTTTTTATTATTATTATGTAATTTGGTATTTTAATTCAATGAAAAAATTAGTTTTAAAAAAATTAATATTTTTTTAAGGTATTTTTGAATTAAAAAAAATGATATGGAATGATGTTTTAGTGGTAGGTATCTCATGGTTTAATGGTAAAAATATAGTGATGAGGTGACACCACCATTATAATTATAATGGTTAGTGATGAGTATTGTGGATAACCTAATTTCTTTATAGTGAACATTACTATCAAGGCAAAGTTTGAAGAAAATGTCGTTATATTTTCGTATCCTTGTATTTTCGTTACATATTCAGTGGCAAAACCAGAAAAAAAAATAATAAATAAAAAATCCAAGATGTAGTACATATGATTTTGAGGATAATACACCCAAAATATAAAATAAAACGTAAATTTTCCAAAACTTTTACCTTAGCCTGAAATTTTAAAGGTAGCATTGGCTACCCCTAGAACCCCCCCTTAGTTCCTCCCATGTACATACCAACAAATATTACTAACAAATGCTACATTTATATATTTTTTTTATATATCAATCATTACGTCCAATATCCCTTCATTTGACCAAAAAAATGTTGACTTGATATTATGACTCGTCCTATTGCTAGTGGTTACGAGGGATTAATGGAATAACAATTATTTTTTCCCTTGTGCAGTACAAAATACTATATTAGGATTATTTTTTTTCAAGGTATACACATGAATACTCTATGAACCATGTAGGTATGTATGTAATGTGCCTACCACTTACACATACGTCAATGTAACAAAATGGATTAGATTGATCTCTCGGTATTTATAAGTATGCATCTGATAAATGTTTAAATATATTATGAAAATCATAAAATGTAATGATATGTTTATCTTTTTTTCATAATTTGGAAGGTAACTTGCAAATAGAAAAGTATGGTAAAGGGACAATATTTAAAAAATGATTCCTTACCCAACTAATAAAGAAAGCATAACATCCATATTCTACCTTTTTTTTTTCTTTTTTTCTTTCTTCGAATCCATCATTGTTTTTAGTTTTTCACAACTTTGGTTGTTGAGACATCTTCTTTTCCTTTTCAGCATTAATGAAATTTATGATCATCTAATTTGGTAGCATTATGTGTACCCTATGCATTCACTTGTTGTAATTTATGCATTAACTCAATGTCATTATATGATTTTGACCAAAATTTAATAAGAAAGTGATTGGATCTGCTACAAAACTGATGTCACAAAAATTAGGGTTGTAGTATACGAAAATTTGATTTTGATTTTTCAGATTTTCCAGACATTAGATTTGGTTAATTAGATAACAAGTGTTTGCAGGAAACGCATATAATTATGATTGAAGATGGGATTTATCATTTTGAAAATACATGTCCAAACACCTTTTTATAGGATTTTGTATAGCATTTCATACATTCAAAGTTTTAAACAATTTTTCTTTCATTGCATCAAACACAAATCAAGATAATGTCCATATGTTCTATATGGATGGGAAATGGTGGGATGTCAAGTTCACCAAACAAATTACACCATTTTGTTTGCAAATAAAACATAATATATTAGTAAAAAGGGGATTGATCCACGGGAAAATGGTTATATTTAATCATCAATGCAATCCAATTGAACAAGTAAAATAAAACTAACTACAATTAAACTAAAAGGGAGGTTTTGTGAATTGTTTGAAAACTAAAAGACTTGAAGAATTAAAATGTTTGCAATTAAGCAAGATGGTGAGATGCTCAAATATTAGAGAGAATTGATAAACTAAGGCAATTCAACAAAATGAATATTTGTTTGTCTATCATTAGGATTCATTATGTAAGCTTATTATTCAACCCAAATTGGTTATAGAAATCATGAAACATGATATGTTAAAATTCCTCAAAGGTAGCATGGAGGTTGGGGAAGCTCACAACACACCTTCTTAATCAAAATCATGGATTTAATTGAAGCAATTGAACCCAAGAAAATGGATTAGCCTTAAGAATAAAGGAATTTCCAATTCCTGGAGGATGTCAATGCTTACGCATCCATAAAAGAGTCACGATCCATAAGATAGAGATGATTTCTATCATCATAAAACCCCTGTTCTAAGCAAATTCAATGATTCATTGCTAAAAAAAAAGACCAACAATCGCTCATCAACTACCAAGCTCAGGATCAAAGTATCAAACACGCATAAGAATTATGAACTAAGAATCATAAACATGAGATAAATGATAACCAAACATGAATCCTTCAAAACTCATAAATATTCAAGGGTTTTAGTCAAAGTCAACCAAAATAAAGAGATTATCCACTCATGGCAACAAGAAAATAATCATAAAAGTGTTTTAACATCAAGAAATTAGAAATTACTAGAAAATTGAGAAGATGGTGACTCTAGCTCTCCAAAATCGCCTCTAAGTCGCTCCAATGGTGGAAAATTCGAAGTGTGTGTTGCAAGACCTAACCCCCAAAGTAAATGATGGGTCTGTTAGCCTATATATTATTAGCCCACGTGTTTATGGGGCCCTTTAGTCTCTAGCACATTAGGGTTTTGTCTAGCTAGTATTTATTATCCGCTTTATTCTCTGTAGCCTTTATGCTTTCATTGAGAACCCTGTAATTTCTCTTTATTATAATCATATGGCAATATTATCATGGTATCAGAGCGGAGGTTTGATACGTTGTTAGAAGACTTTATAGCAATCATCTCTGTTTGATGTTTCTTCGTTGCTGATATTCGTTTGTTTGTTGGCATTCGTTTGTCGTTGTTGTTAGTTCGTTGTTGTTGATCGATCTCTTGATGTTCGATTGATTGCTTCCGATGGTTTGTTACTCCTCTCATTCTA